TTAACAGTAGAGCGTTTGCTAACATTACGAGAACTAAGTTGATTTATAAGATTCCAGGTTTTCTTCGGGTCATTTTTTGCTAAGTCAAGATTGGTACTGAAATAGTCACGTTTCGATTGTTTCAGATTGTTGTTCACTTCGTTCCTAGCTTTCTTATATAAATTCCAAGCAGAAATGTCTTTAGTGGTTTCAAACTTCTTTTTAAAATAATCTCTTGAACGCATTTGTTGTAGTATATTAGGAGAGATCCAAGGGGATCTTTTTTTACCAATTCTAGTCTCCCTTATTGGGGCGTGTTTATTCACTACGTTCATGATGTCGTTTGGATCATCATGATTTTGAATAACATCCCAATTTAGCACTTGCTCTTATTCACTAAATTGGTATAGTTTACAGTATCTAATGTACTATTAACAGTACTATACAACTTACCAATGCAGTATCTGCCGTAACGAAGTTGAAATCCATTTGGACATGAACATCTGAAACCTCCTCGAGTGTTTGTACAACGCCACGTACAGCGACCATACTGCTCAGGTTTTGCACACTCGTTGATATCTACAAACAAGAAAGATTTAGGGCCATGTTACTAACAAGGAGAGAGTGCAATAGCTGTTACTCTTTTTTACAAATCAAACAGCGTGCAGCTTTTTATGGAGACACCTGGTATAACGTAAGTTTATTTCTGTATGCTCAATATTTTTAATGTGATAAATGTAGGCATGTAATATTGAAATGACGTATATTTATTATTTGCAACAGTAAACGTGTATTTTTTAACAAACAGTAAGGAACTCAGAACGTTAGCACTCACCTGAACAGGACAATCCATTACTGTGTAAGGTGTATCCTCTATTACATTGGCAATAATATGAACCTTGTGTGTTGATACAATTTTGTTCACAACGTACACTCCCTTGTCTGCTGCATTCATTCACATCTGTTTGAAACAAATGAAAATTATGATCATTAAAAATTAACAAACATTATCACTGAATTACCGTCATTCCATATTCAATTAGAGATTGCAGTATGCCTATATGCGGATACACTCGGAAACAAGGACGTAAATCTTTGGAGCAGGGGGACGCATCCCCCTCACTTTCCTGACATTCGCAATGTAATCTATAATAAATTGCCTCTTTTGGCCGGCCCTAACCTCCTCCCCCCTTTTGAAATGGATTTTTGCTCTTGCTCGGAAACAAGAATGTGTGAGACAAAGTGATATTTAAAATAATCGGAAAATAATGGGGGGGGATTCGGGCAGATATGTCAGAAAATATGCTAAATTCAGGTTATTTAATTACAATTCTTCATAACAATTCGGGCAAACTTTCAACTCTCCCCCTCCCCCACGGAAAGCATCAGCACCGTACGCCTATGAAGGTCAAGTAATGTTTCTGTCATACTGACCGTAACAATTTGTTGTATCTGCGAGAGCATATCCTTTCCTGCATTCACATCTGAATGAACCCTCGGTATTCACACATTTATGTGCACAATATTGATCCGGTCCCCGGCATTCGTCTTTATCTGAACGGTCAACGAGAATAAATACGTTAATATATCTGGTCATGTGGGTTGTCTTGTTCCCAGGGCCTTGAATTGGGATTTGGGACGCTTTAGCACCCGTGACAATTTTAACAGAGAAGTATTACGAAGAAACTAAGTATTTGTGTTGACATATTTTGATAGAATAATTTTGCTTAGGGAAAAGAATCAAATCCAGAGCCTAATTTTCAACGAGTGCCAATGGCTCTGGGGACGAGAATGAGTTGTATCTGGATCGACTGGTATTAGGCCCACAAGCAGGCCCACAAGCTAGTCTACGTGAATGGATGAAATTAAGTCCAATGTCACAGGAAATTGACTCCCCTCGGAAAATCCTCTCCCCCCGTCCATGAAGAGAAGGGGCGGAACTTCCAAGGAATTTCGCCCTTCCCGGGGTAGAAACGTTTGAGACAATCGTTTGAAGGAAATTAAATGCATATACCAGAATAGTCTGTAAATTAATCGTACCTCGACAGTGTTTATCTCCACCGGTTCTAAAATAACCATTATTACAGCGACACGAGTATGTTCCATTGACATTAATACACTGCTCAGCTAGAGGTTTGCATATATGCCTTCCTGTTGTACATTCATTAACATCTTGTGAAAAGAAGAAATAAATAAATGCAGGCTAATCCTTCATTAGCCTTCTTAGTTTTTTGCCAAACGAACGGAAGGTGCTCTTTGGAAGTCATACGATGCCTGATTATGTCCAAAAGGCCAAAGGATGCATCTGTAATTTACCTCATTACAGAAGCACCAACTGAACGTTTATTTTGCAATAGGCGTTTGGTTAAATCATGGATTGTAAAATAAAATTGTAAATTTATTTTATTATCCATGGTTAAATCATGCACATATTAAAGGTTAAACTTGGTTTCAAAATAGTATTTGTCGTCATGTCGTCAGGGTTGAATAGTAAATATATATATACGAAACTGTCTTTAACATTTTCGAAAAAAACGAAACTGTCCTTAACATTTTCGAAGGGTGTAATAAGGGTGTGCACATCTAGACATTTTTAGCTCCCTTCTCAACGTACCTTGGCATTGTCCATTCCTTGCTCTCTCGAAACCGTATGGACAAGGTTTGTATACACATCTGTAACTACCAGGTGTATTTTCACATATAGTTCTGGGTGGACGACATATGTTGGGGATTGTACATTCATCTTTGTCTAGAATGAGTACAAAATTAATTAAGCACTCTTTAATTGCATTATATCTTGATTAATGTGCCTAAATTGTACATGCGTGTTAAGCCAACTGAAGAACAAATGTAGTTTTAAAACTTGCTTGTTTTTCTTGTTGCATCTATTAAACAAGGAAATTTAACCTCATTAATGGAATAGACCTTTCCGGTAATTACGTCACAACTACATTGTTTTCAACTTAGGACCACCTTAAATCACGCTTAAATGGAATCAGATTTCAAGTTTTTTCTCACTGACCATGCGCAAAGAAGCAGAACATCCTTCTTTAACGCATGCATGATAAAAAATTTATTATTTTGACCAATAAATACGGGAATAAGCTTTAACACCAAAACGAGGCTGAGGGGCCCAAAGGAGAAATGGCCCCTTAGCCTCGTTTTCGTGTAAACGCTTAGTCTCACATAAACAATGTAGCTGTGACGTAATTACCGGAAAGGTCTATTGAGGCACCACGTGGTGGCACATAGGGATTCACATCCTTGTATTCAATTTAATCTGGTCACGTGAATTGTTAATTGAAAGTGTACAGTTGACAATTAATTTTGATAGTTTCGCTTCCAGGCTCTACTCTTCTTTTGTTAATTTGCGCTCGGAATTTTCAATGTAGTGCAATTTCAAAAATAATTACATGTTTTTAGTGATGAACAGTTTACCTTGACAATTGCCATTGAACCTCTCGTATCCAGATCGACACCTCCTCACTTTAGCACAAAGGTATTTTCCAGGAAGATTTTGACATTCTTCATCTGATCTGCACGCGTTGTTTCTTTCGCATTCATTGATGTCTTGATTCACGAGAAGAAAGTTTACGACTTACTGAGATTACTATATACCAACCACATAACATACCAATATTTCATTGTTTTCATTCATTCATAGTTATTGGCCCATTCCTATGAGAATCTTATACGATGGTTTAAGAATTTCTGCGTGCAATGAAACTCACAATTGCACACATGCATGACATTTGACTAATTTTACGAAATGTCATTTTGAAAAATGTCAAATTCCTTTCTCCTTAAATATACCAATAATAAAATTGCATTATACACACAGCATTGTTGTGATGTATACGAAGAAATTCTTGCATTTCGACGAAGTAGTATAGCCTTTGCCAAGAAGTTAAATTGTCAGTTAGCATATCTATCGGAAACCTCTGTTCGCAGGCTGATTGTCAGTACGGAGGATTTTTTCTCGGAATGTCTGACTTACGAATTTTACATGCTTTTTTCAGTAGTTTTCAACATCATACTGTCTTTTAAAAATCACTCGTACATGTTTTTTCCCCGCATTGCACTCAAACCCATACTACTGTATTTCCTATACAAATTAATTGTTACCTTTGCAATCATCGCGTAATTGAACTCTTTCATATCCCGAAGAACATTTGACTCTACATCGGTAACTTCCTCGCATATTTATACATTCTTTATCTGCCGAACATTTTCGTTTGTTTTCTAAACACTCATTCACATCTGTTATAAATATTAATTAAAGACAAAGTCATCAATACCAAAATGATGCTATGTCCTATTGTGAGGGTGTGGGGGGAGGGTCCGTGTTCCCTTCTTTCCCACAAAAATTTCATCTTAATATATCCCAAATGCAAATTCAATTTACAAATATTTTCTGTAATTGGTATAAAATACCAAAGTCATAGAACTTGATACGAAAGCCATAGAACTTGATATTGCCTTTAAACACGAATGTATACGCACGCACGCGCAATGCCAATTGAAAACACCATGCAACCAGGATCAGTGTGCCCACCCCTTGGGTGTTTTACTTCACGGCAGACCGTCTGCTATTCAGTAAGGCTATAAACTAGAACCACCACATTAAAACATGAAAAACAATTAATTTTGCTTACCAACACAAGTTCCCCTATAAAGGCGATATCCAGGGTCACACGAAGCTTTCTTTTCACAGCGATATGTTCCAGGCCTGTTAATACAGGTTTCATCCGCTCCACACAAATTTTTATTGCACTCATTTATATCTGTTGTGGGGAAAATAAACAGGTTTATTGAGGAGGTAGTGAACTAGTGATAAACTAAATTCACTGAAACATGTTTTTGGAGAAATCCGGAAAAATTTAGAGAAATTCTGGCATTTTTTTTGGATTGTAAAGCCAAAGGGTTTTTGATTTTTAGGGATATATTGAGGGATTTTCAGGATTTTTGAGTGATACGTGTTTCGTTTCGTTTCGTTTTGTTTTGTTAGTCAACCTAGTTGCATGCCTTGTCGAAAGCGATGTGCATTAAGATAATTCTTATTCAAAACTACAATATATTGATCAACTTTGTCTGGGGCGTCTTCATGGTGGTGTGTATTGTTACCACAGATTTCTTCAAATCGGAGTGAGGGTAAAATTAATTTTGTAAATTTTGAACACAAAGTTTACTAATAACGTTTAACACACTGCCTTCTCCCTCCCCCCATGTTTCTTTCCCCGATGACAGTCGTGTTTACAGACTGTATGCGAACATGCAAGGAACTTATCTTCCTGCATGTCGGTTAGTACGGTAGTATACTAAATGGGGGTTACCATAACATCTTGATCCAGAACGTTCAAATCCATTTCGGCATTTACAGCGATAACTGGCTGGAATATTTTCACATACTTCGTCTCTTGGGCAAGGTGACCTCTGTCTCAGACACTCATTATCATCTAAATAAAAATACAATCACTCGGTACAAGTATATTCATATCAGTTATACATGCATGTATATGTGGTGGGTTAAAAAGCTACACTGTACAACTAATCCTTGATAAATTACATCGGGATTACATGCACTTTATCAAATGAGGAGCAAGTTTAAAGTTACATTAAGAAGATACTATTTGTTTCCAGTGCATGACTATATTTTTCCCTTGTCTTGCTTCATACTCAATAACAACATTGAAAAGAAAGAACAGGGTAAAGATAATGTAGAAAATTTGTAGTGATCCAACAATATTTTGCAAAGATTGTGAAAAGTTCAGAAAACAGAGAAAGAGAAACTCTGATAAACTATATCCTTTCTCACGCCATGCCATCAGCCCTTATTGCCTCCATTTTTGAGTGGTAAACTGCACGTGGAAAGTAGACGACATTAAGAGAAGGAGTGGAGTGCGATTTGTGAATTGTTGCTAAAAATTGTCCTATGGTTTATCCGCGTTTTACGTCATTATGAAAAATGTCTATTGCACTGCATGACCAACGCGCACGTAGTCTTTTATGCATGTTATTTAAATAAGCATGATTATAGTCTTTATCAATTTCAGTGACAATACAATAAACATGGTATGTCAGCTTTGCATGCAGATGCAATTCGATGTCGGAACATACCAGAAATCGTACACAAACATTTTGCTTTCGGTCATTACCTTGACATGTTGAACCAACACGTTTATAACCTCGTCGACATCTGCATCTATAACTTCCTTGAATATTTTGACATTGTTCATTGCTTGAACATGGTGACTGATTACATTCATTCACATCTGAATAAACAGGTGTTTGTAGTGTGAGTCGAAATACATCGCATATTTGGTAACTATATATATATATATATATATATAAACTTAAGGTTGTAAATGACTAAATGAACATGCGTTGAAATCAGCTTTCGCAGTCAATTGTAGCTGTAATTTCGTTGCTCGTACTTTCTTACTGTAAGGCGGAGTAACTATAATACGAAATTGCTGCAACTTGTAACAAAAACTGATTTCAATGCATATTAATTAAAAGTGTTCACACATAAGTATTAATCGAAGATGAGACAAAATTCGTAAAGAATTAGAATGATCTGAACGAGGCAAAAGGCTGGAATGTTGATATATAAAAAATGACTTGCCTTTGCATACTGAATTGACCATCTCAAAGCCTTGTCTACATTGTGCTACACATCGATAACTACCAGGTATATTGACGCATGTTCTAGATCGACAAGGACGCCTTGACTTGTACCGCTCGCACTCATCTATATCTGCACGAGGAAAACATTCAAGTACACAATCATTCTCAGAGTATATAATAAAAAAAGTTCTCTATAATTCCGCGAACACTACATATAGAGAAGAAGGAAAATGTCTGAGTGGAGTTCAACTGTACACATCTTTGGATCAGTATAAAGGTTGGTTCCTCATGCATATACCAGTTTTTATATTTACAATCTATTTACGCAAAATACTGAAATATAAAAGCTAGAATCGAATACGATCCAATGAGCTATTTAGTTGACGGGCATTGCAAGCGAGTTTTTCTGCAATTTAAGAGCGTTCTGAAAGCAAAATATCTCTCATTTAACGCTTACGGAAAGTTGTTTTGACTTTTGTTCTCAAAATAAAACATTTATAATATTTATAATGTCGTTATACGATATTGTTTTGGTGTATGATCGCAGATGAGTTATAGCCTTTCTCTCGAAGGCCAAAATCCTCCATTTTTGAGGTACTGTCTGCCCTCGTGAAAGATTCCAGACAATTCAAACAACGTGAAAAGCGACTTTTAAAAGTTGTAACTCAGTGTAAATTAACCATTATACAAACAACTACAACACTAAAAAGTATTTCGTGGTGCGGAGACTCTCAAACGTGGGAAAGCCATGCAGTACCCCCAAAATGGCGGGAAAATCTGCCGAGAAAGGCTAATTGGGATTTGGGAGAGCATGCATTTGCCTATGGGCGAAACTATACAGGGTGTCCGAAAAAAACGCAAAACCATTGAAATAACGTATTGTTACAGTCGTGCCAATAGAAGAGTTCCGAAAAATGTTAACCAATTCATTTCCTAACTTGAAGGAACGCCTCTGAACAATTCCTCAACAATTTGATAAGTTCCTTAAAAAGTTCCTAACTTCCTGTTTCATTGACCAATCAAATTTTATATTTTATTTTTGAGCAATCTGATTGGTCAATGAAACAGGAAGTTAGGAACTTTTTAAGGAACTTATCAAATTGTTGAGGAATTGTTCAGAGGTGTTCCTTCAAGTTAGGTTATGAATTGGTCAACATTTTTCGGAACGCTTCTATTGGCACGAATGTAAAATTTGAATACCCTAGCACTAAGCTGAACGCAAAGATGCGTAAAATATTGACAGCTAGGGTGCATATATTAAATATTGACTTATTAAGAAATTAATCGGTTTAATCCATATCTGCGAAATTTTTAAGCCATTCTTAACTCGATAATTCACTTTAATGCAAGCTGGTATGCATGAAATTGCAGTGAATGTTATCGTTCATTATAAAGCTAGCGCATTAGTTGTGTTTTTATGTTTGTTTATAATGGTCTTAATACTTTATGTGCAGTTTTTATACTTCATCTGTTAAGAAAGGCGAGGGGTTGCTGCATGCATGTATTTTCCAGTTATTTATGATTTCATGCCGTCTTACAGGCTGCTCTGCTCTATTTACTGTTCAAAATTCCTCGGATACAGTCAGCCTAGACCTAGGCCTTCTATTTTTATTTATATTTTTTAATATTCAGCGCTTTTTCACATGAAAAGACTGGGACTAGGTGATTTGGGGGCGGGGCGGAGCCCAGTCTTTTCATGTAAAAAAGCGCTGAATATTAAAAAAATATAAAGAAAAATAGAAGGCCTAGGTCTAGGCTGGGATACAGTGTGATGATTTTTGCTCAGGTATGCAAGGCCGTAGCAATAATAATCATTCTTTTTTCAAAATCATGCAGACCTTTCTCAATTTTAAGCTTTATTAGTTTTAAGCGGCTACATTATCCATGACAAACTGCAAAGAATGAAGATATTACCCACACTTTTCTGCAACTTTTCCAACATATAGTTAATTAAATACGCCTTCGCCCATTTAATACTACCAAATTGTAATTTCGACATACTAAAACGCTGTTTTCTGACCATCAGAGACTCTAAAATTAAAAATTTCCTCGGGCCTTCGGCCCTCGATTTAATCCCCCCCCCGAATAAAAAAGAGTTTCCTACGGCCCTGGTATGAGACCGTATTCATGTATAAATTGTGATTGAGGCCAGGTATCCTAGCCCTAGGATACGGGAATAAACGCGGGAGATCAAGCAAAAACAGCTTAGCAAGCCAAATTCAGATGCTTTCTTGTTGCTTATTTCGATTTATAACGATTTTTGTGTGTATTTTAAGACTTTGTGCCCACAACGAAAGCTGTAAACGAGTATATTATAAAAATGATCGGTTTTTCTCCCTTTTTTATGGCAAATATGACAACATAGCGATCATGGTGTTTAATATCCGGAAGCGAAAAACAGTATTTTACTGAGATTTTAACGTCAATATGTAGGTTTATATTCCGTGAAAAATCAAGACACCTATGGAATGAAAGTATCATTTTGGGAAATTTGACATTAATATGAAAGAAAACAAGAGGTCAAAAATCACAAGAAAACATTTCCGGGTTTTTTCCCGTATCCCAGGATACGAGGCCTCGATTACGAATTATTAATAAGGTCTCAGTGCCAGAATAATGTTCTAAACTTGTTCGAGAACAGTAAATTGCTTATTCTGTGAACATAATTTAACCTTTAACAACCTGCAACCTAAAGTTGAAAGCTTCAGGATTTTTATTTACCTACGCAGTTTTGCCCAACTCTTTCAAAACCACGATTACACCTCCTGACTGGTGCAGAAACACATCTGTATGATCCGATTGTATTCACACATCGTTGATTTGATTGGCAAATGCCAGGTCTTCGGCATTCGTTCTCATCTATACAATGTATATAAAGGTATTTTTCGTTTGTGGTTTTTTAGGTAAAACGAAAAACTATATTACGCTCTATCTATATGGTAATGAGCACTGTTTGTGTTTCGTAAACTTAAGCTATATATATATATGTATATATATATATATATATATATATATATATATATATATATATATATATATATATATATATATATATATATATATATATATATATACTGAGGAAGTATGAACTTCACTTACCCACACATCTATTTCCGTTCCACTGACTTCCTAACCTACATGCCCCTGGAAAAAACCCAGATTTTATGTTACTTTGACAGGTTCAATTTAAGATCGCTAAATTTCGTATTGATATATTCCCTTAACAAAGAATAATAAATAATTTAAAGCAATACTCACTTTGACATCTCCCATTTCTGAATACGTATGTGCTTGGACATCTCGGGTTGCATCGATAACTTCCTCTTGAATTTATACATTCTTCCCCGGCTTGACAAGGAGATTGCAGACACTCGTTTATATCTGTGGAAATATAATAAAACACTGTATATAACAAACTGTATTTAAAAAACTCATTGATCATTAGCCATTCCGAAGTTGATGAGAGGACTGGGACGAGTGTTAAAAAGTGCTCAAATAAAGAAATGAACCAAATCACTAAAAAGATCACCTCAAAATTAGTAAGTATACAAAGTTTGAAGACGTTTACACGAATACCCTTCGAATACTAAGCTTTTGAAAATCGCGATATTTATATGAATGTATTGTAATTTTTGTTTTTGGGACGCCCGTCCCAAAAACAATCTTTTAATCAGTAATTTTACAATTTTCGAAAGTTTATTATTCGATGGGTATTCATGTAAACGTCTTCAAACTTTGTATGCTTACTAATTTTGAGGTGGTCTTTTTAGTGATTTGGTTAATTTCTTAATTTGGGCATTTTTTAACACTCGTCCCCAGTCCACTCATCAACTTCGGAATGGCTAATTAATGAAGAAAGGTATAAAGCGAATCACGACCGTGTCGGTGGATGAAAAAATATTAATTTACGTATAAACTTTAGCTTTGATATTGCCGGCATAGACAAGGTTGATTTTTAAAATTTCGATTCGTCCGCTATAGTACATTGAACTCACAAAATTTAAACTATTTAAAACACTCTTTAAAACATTCGCAGTACGTACGTGCTTTATCAGATCTTTCAAACACTCATTAATAATTCATAAGCTTATTGGCAAATCATGTCAACCATAATATGTCACGTGCAGTGGCTTTAAACCTGATAAAACACTCCTAATCAGTATTCTTTATATAAAGAATACTAATAAGGCAGTATCTATTGTAGTCGTGTCCTCATTAGTATTTTTTTATATAAAGAATACTAATATGACGGTATATCTATTGAATTTGTAGTCGTGTTTGAAGCCGTTTAATAAACTCGCAGGTCGTGTTTTATTAGGTCTAAAGCAGGGCGTAGTAAAACACCCTGCTTTAAACAGGGTGTTTTACTACGCCCTGGTCTAAAGCCACTCGCGCTGCGCGCTCGTGTCTTTAAACCTCATAAAACACTCCTGCTCGTTTATTAAACAGTACATAACACACTGTTTTATATAAAACACTCCTGCATGCTCGTGGTTTAAATAGTAGTGCATGTAATGTATAACATATAACATGTGCATAGAACAACTGAACATGACTTATAGTAAAATACGAGGTTGGTAAAATGCAAAACAATAGACTCTGGAATTTGTAAACATTTTCATTCTTTACGTTTCGACTATAATTGCCCATATATAGGGCATTCTTCTGAAGATGACTTAAATTATAGTCCAAACGTCAAACGTATAAAGAATGAAAAGTTTTACAATTTTCGGGGGTGTTTATTGTTTTGTGTTTTATTAAAATACTCTATGCCTATGGGACCTATGGCAACCGCAATTTTTTTGTGACTTAATAGTTCATACCACTACTATATACATCACTAAAGCCCAGATCAAACGAGTATGAGAGTGTACGAGAGTTGGTTAGCTGTTCTTACAGTAATGCTTTCCCAAAATATAGTTCATGCAGTAATTGGAACACTGATCAATTGTTTATTTTGTTAAAATGTCCCCCGTATAACAATGCGTTACTGCTAAATCTCATCCTCGTTGACCTAACATATATACCTCGACATTGTTTTCCTGAAGAATCGACTTCCAGTCCCCCACCACATGTCAATGTCCTGGTGGCAGTGGTGCTTTCTTCGGTGCACTCATGCGAACCATAAGTATTCTTGCATATTTTATTTTGGTCGCATGCTCCACTGCTAGCGCATTCATTCACGTCTAAATGTAAGAATGGAAATATGAAGCTACCCATGTATTATATTAAATGTTTCTTTATATTATTTAAAAACTGATGATGAAACTGATGTTTACAGATATGTTTGGATTTTACACTAACACTGGAACTCGTGCACGTCTGAAAGAAGGTTTGGATGAAAATGTTAGGCGAAACATGACGAAACTGTGCAACATCTGCTTGCACGGCGCGGTATCCTTGCAGTATAACCGAGCACCTTGACAGAGCTGCACGAAGTCGCTTCTCCACCAACGTCATGCACTCGCGAAAATATGAACTGTATAAGAACCCGCGAATAAATATAATCTCTATACTCTTTCCATATAATCTACCATTATAAGGAATCCGCGAATTGGGTACATGTGGGTTGGGAGTCCCAATATATGGTAGATTACATGGAAAGAGTATAGAGATTATATTTATTCGCGGGTTCTTATACAGTTCATATTTTCGCGAGTGCATGACGTTGGTGGAGTTCTGCCGAATCACAAAATGTGGTATATCCTAAGTGAGTGACAAAATAGCTAATTGTGAACGAACTCCCGAATGGCGAGATTGTCAAAAGAATTACAGAAGAGAGATATCAGCATTTTGACATAACGGAGTTAAACCAGATGGTGGAAGAAGGTGATGAAGAAATAAATTCAGGCAGGAATACTACTGCACTACCTACGCTAGCACAGCCCGTTCGACTTTATATGAAATAATACTAGGTAGTGACAAAAACACCAGAAAACTGCAGATGGATAGGGGTTCAATTACCTGAAAAATACAAGCAAAACGTCGACGTTTCAAGCGAAGGACCTCCGTCAGGAAGTTAGTAGCATGGATCGGGAAAATACATGTGCTTTTATACCGTAGCGACCATAAAAGCGATCACCTGGCTAGTTCATTTTTGTCAGGTGATCGCTTTTATATTCACTATACACACGTAAAAATCTCACAACTTGTCAACAAGATGTGTTCGCAACAGGCTTGTAGCAAGCTTGTCAACAAGTTGTAACAATGCTGTTATTTCATCAAGCTGCTACAAGGTTGTCACTCACAACTTGTTGACAAATTGTTGAATTGCAGGACGATAACAAGTCAGTGTTGGAACAACTTGTAATAAGTCTGTTGAGCTCAACAACCTTGTAGCAACAACTTTTCAACAAGCTGGGAACAAGCAGTGCGACAAGTTTGACAAGTTGTTGGAACAAGATTGCTGCAGGTTTGTTATACAACCACTATGCTACAACTTGTGCGTTTTTCGTGTGTAGTAAATAGATAAGCACATGCATGCCAGTGGCGTAACGCAACCGCTGGGGGCCCTCCGTCAATCGGCCACTTTGGGCCCCTTTGCTCCACTAAAAATAGGCTCCAAAAATTTTTCTCGGAACAATTTATTTTTGGCGACCCCCCCCCCCGTCGCCAAAAAATTTTCGGACATTGTACCATTTTAGGGGTCCAAAATTTTTTTTCGGACATACCCAATGAAATTGCAATTAATTCATTCTAGTATCTCGTCCTTTACCTCAGCCGCGACGTACTTAATCAGTCGCAGCTTCGGGAAATTTCTCGACGGATTTTGCCTTTTCCAGAGAATGGGTTTTCTTATTCAATTCAATTCAATTAATTCAATTCCCCAGAAATGTGCTATCAAATTTTTTAAGGTCATTTTTGTCGGGGGCCCCTAAAGTTCGGGGGCCCCCCGTCACTGGACACCCTGACACCCTCCCGTTACGCCACTGATGCATGCATGAATTTTCCCGATGCATGCTACATAACGAAGAGCCTTCGCTCGAAACGTCGAAATTTTAGTCGTATTTTTCAGGTAGTTGGATCCCTATCCATCTGCAGTTTTCAGGAATACTACAGGGAGTGGGTTAAAATATTAAATTCAAGGTCAAATATAAAAACACTATTCTGGCAATCATAACACCTCGCCTTCAATCCACCTTTGATACGGAAAATACATGTTCATGCATGGCGCATTATTTGTTCTCCATTTGCAGAAGCCCTAATGTGGATTCAGCTTGTAGCTACTGCTTTTAACAATTACAATAACAATTATGTACAATTATTCGTACTTTGTTTGTAGGCTACTTTATATTTCTGTTGTAATTTGGAGACATTCAACTGACAAGCATTAGCACAGGACGCCGTGTCCTTTTGTAAGGGACCCGTGTGCTATTGCTTGTTGTCCTATTCCTAGTTTGCTGTTGATTCAGTCTGTCATAAATGTCGTAAATTAAAAAAAACCCAGCTGGGGGTAACGTTTCTCAGGTATGGATCAGGAATAAACGACTGGAATAATGGGGAACTAAAGGAAATGGACAAGAAAACAAGAATGTATGCATGTATATGCAGTCATCAAAACTTTAACTCCTGAGGCATGGAAAAGAGGGAAAGAGTAATTGGATGAAGAAATACGGAAAATTCAATGTGAACTACACAGCGACTTGTGAAAAAACGATTGATGCGGTTAGTTTGATATTCACAGCTAAACATGTGTATTTAACTCTCAAAATTTAAAAAAAATTGACTTTGTGTGTGTTGTGTAACTTCCTCTTTTCCATGCCTCAGAAGTTAAAACTTGCGTCCTCCCGAAATGAACTTACCATCGCATGTACGTCCATTCCTATTGATTTGAAACCCGCTCCTACAAACACATGTGGGAACACCGCTAAGTAGAACACAACTTTGTGAGCATCGTAAATTAGAACATGTTCTTGTTGTTCTTGTTGGTCTTGTTGGTATTATTGATGGTGTTGGTACTTGGACCGCCTGTCCAAAAATATTAGGAGTACCGGAGGGATGTGGATCTAAACAAAACAAAATAAATGAAGGACTGTAGAACTTAATCATGTATAGCATTTGTGTAGCCGTGTACTTGGCGTATATATTATGTATTATACAGCTTATATATTATAATATTGATATATATTTCAGTACATTCTTGCAATGATACTGTATAGCCATTGAACATACCATCTAACAAACAACAATTTGTAAATGACTTTTGACAAGGGAAACCAAGAACGGCTTTTGTCCCACATCCCATTTTTCTTCGTTTGGCCTCCATTCCCAGATAACAACAATAACAACATTCTTGATGGTCTTCTCTACCATAGTAAAGTGATGTTTGAGCACTACATGTGCCGCCATTACTAGAAAATAATGAATTCCACAGTAAACTTTTAGCATACTAAACTGACCTCTTTCATACCTAAACTAGATTTGTTCATACTAGATAGACTATTAGTTCTAAAGAATATCCGAACGGTCCATGAGGAAGAGCTATCTCTTATTCGTCCAGTGCAACCAGGTAACCGAAGAAAACCTGTGGTGTTTGGTGAAATTATATAAAATCGCGGCTGGAAGATGAATATTAAATACTGGATTTTAAAGTTGTGTGAATATGAATATTGATAATAGAAATATGAATCTTGAGGGTATGAATATGAATATTTGGAGTAGGAAGTAATTATTTGAAATTAAATTGGAATATGTGCCCCCCACTCCCCCTCCCCTAATTATAGATGTAGGAATATTAAATATTTAAGCGAAAATATTCCCCTTCCACCAGTGTTATAAACAGTGTTAAAAACGAAATGTCAGGATTTTGGACATCTCACTTGATAAAACTAATTGTTGAAGGGATTTGTTGATGGAAATTGCGAGTGAAATTTTTATACATTTATTAGACCACACCTGATGATAAACTTTATTTAAAAATAACACGCTAGCCTCGTCAACTTTCGCTGATTTCCACGAGGGGCGTGTCAATTACATTAAATAGTAACAAACATTAAAAATGAACATATTTACAATAGTCAACCTTATTAATATTATACCATAATAATTATATTTACATTATATTATGAGAAATTGTGAGCACTAATTCGACTTTTAAATATTGGCAAGGTAGCCGAATCACGCAAATCTTCAGGTTAGGAATTCCACAATTTCGCCCCATCGTAAGAAAAACTTTTCTTAACATTTTCAGGCCTGGGAAAAGGGATTTGCAGTGATGTAGAGGAACCCCTAAGCTCGTAATCTGTGACATCACTTTTACGCATAAAAAGATTAACAAGTGCATTTGGGGACAAATCATTTAAAACTTTGTACATTTGTACTGCTTTAGACTTAGCTCGTTGAGACTAAAGAGTTTCCCACCCTAAGGCAGTAATAGCTGTTATCGTAATTGAATACGCCGCTGCGGCGAACCAGCGGTATCTCAATGGAAGTACGCACGAAAACGAGGCTAAAGGGTCAAAAAACACAAAATATGACCCTATAGCCTCGTCTCGATGTTAAAATAATGCAGATACCGCTGGTCCGTAGCATAGACGTATTCAATTACGATAACAGCTATTGCTTCTAATCCAGGGGTATCATTTGTCATACTCATTACTATTCTCGCCGCTCTATTCTGCAGTTTTTGAAGTCGAGTTGAAAGGCCAATGCCCAAGGTATCCCATACCACACTGCAATAATCGAAATGAGGGCGAACTAAAGCATTGTAGATAGAGATCAAGGTTTCCCTATCGACAAAGTCACGTATTCTTCTTAAAGCTCCTACACCGGAAGTAACCTTCTTGGCCACGCTTTCAACATGCTTGTTCCAAGACAATTTTTCATCAATTTGAACCCCAAGTAATCTACTATGATGAACTTGCTTAATTTTGTCTTGATCTATTTTTATATTTGGTTGATTAGTAAGGTTCGTTAATCTATGATTTGAACCAATAAGTATAAATTCGGTTTTTGAAGTATTGAGACTCAGTTTGTTGGCTAAAAGCCAGGTATGTACACTAAGGAGATCATTATTCATGGCCAACTCAACTTCCTCTATTGACTCACCAGCTACCGTAAGATTGGTGTCATCGGCAAATAGCCGAGGGGCAGCTTCATGAAGACATTCTGGAAGATCATTTATATATAAGAGGAAGAGAAGTGGACCAAGGATGGATCCCTGTGGAATACCGCATGTCACAAGCCGCTCAGATGACATTACGTCTCCCAGTTGGCATTTCTGTTTGCGATCAGACAAGTATGATTGTATCATGGTTAAGGCACTGTCATTGATACCGTATAGCTCAAGTTTTCGCACCAAAATATCATGGTTTACAGTATCAAAGGCCTTTTTTAAATCCAATAATACAACCAGATTAAACATTTTGCGGTCCATATTAACGTACCAACTGTTCGTGCAATCCAAAAGAGCCGAAGCAGTTGAATGAGATTTGCGGAAACCAAATTGGTGTTCAGAAAGGTTCGAATTGTCGTTAAGGTATTCGTAGATCTGATCATACATAATTCTTTCTATAACTTTACTTATTGCAGGTAAGATTGGGATTGGCCTATAGTTTTCTGGGAGATCTCGTGGACCCTTTTTATGAAGTGGTAGAAGTCTAGCAGCTTTCCATTCATATGGAAAACAGCTTGTTATGATAGCATGATTAAAGATGCGTGTGAGTGATAAGGCAATAGTAGGGGCTGCAGTTTTTAAGATCTTTCCAGATATTTTATCAAGACCAGTTGCTTTCGAATTGGATAAACCATTTAGAAGCTTGACTACTTTAGTATGTGAAACTAACTTAAAGCGTGTCATTTTTGATGTAGCTGGTTTGACGAAACGATCAAACGTAATGTCAGTATCATCAATAGAACTAGCTAAGTTAGGGCCAATGTCAGTAAAATATGTATTAAAAGCATTGGCAATTTCTTCAGGTGAGGTAATTTTTGTATCATTACATTTTAATTCATTAACAACAGTATTACCTGGAGAACGACAGAGTAAATTATTGATTGTCTTCCAAGCCTCTTTTGGATTATTATTTTGATTTGATATTTTAGTGCGAAAATAATCTGTTTTAGCTTGTCGTAGGGCAATATTGACCTTATTCCTAGTTGATTTGTACTTATCCCAAGCAGCATGGGTACCAGTCACCATTGCCTCACGCTTTATTTTATCTCTTTCAAAGATAATTTTTTTAATTTCCCCAGTCAGCCACGGAACGCCAGATTTTCTTTTTCTAATACGCTGAACAGGGGTATGCTTATCCAAGACTTCCAAAAATAACTTTTTCCAAAGGGCCCACATGGAATCAGTATTTGATTCCAGAACAATTTGCTCCCATGGCTGAGCTAGAAGATCCTCTCTAAAAGAGTCATGGTTAAACCTTTTCATGTTTCTGACCTCAACATTCCTGTTTTCTTATACCATAAATTAAGCTGTGATCACTAATTCCCGTATGAATTACGCCAGTCGAATTAATTTTCTCTGGCATAGATGTTATATAGTGATCTATAAGTGTACAAGAAATATTTGTTATTCGTGTCGCCTCAGTAATAAGTTGAGATAACTGGTATGTTTCTAATATAGCTTTCAAGGTTTTAGTTGGTTGATCAGAAACAGTATTAAGCAAATTACAATTTAAATCCCCTAAGATATGCAGTTCTTTGTTTTCGTCATCAATCGATTTGATCATCTTTTCAAAATCAACAAAGAACTCAGAAGTGGAATCTGGTGGGTGATAAACAGATGCAACAATAAAACGTTTACTATTTGGTTTGCAAATCTCCAAACAGACCGCTTCGATACTCTCAGGAATCAGATCATTTCGAATTTTATAGTTAATAGAAGTACGGAGATATATACATACACCACCCCCTCGACGAGATCGATCTTTCCTGACTATATCGTAACCACTGATATTTACTAAGCCATCCGAAATGGTATTGTCTAGTCTGGTTTCATTTAAAGCAAATAAATCTAAATTTGAAAAGAGTTTAGATATGCGTAATTCCTCAACATGTTTAGGTAAGCTGGCTATATTAAGTAAAGCCATCTTAAACCCCCTAGAATTTGCACAATTAGGAAATGGGTTGGATGTAGAATTTTGAGAATTAGCACTCACATTTTCACATAGTCACCTAACCAGGAACAGTTACGAAAAATACAACTATATAACTAAAAATGTTTTATACATTTATTAGACCTAACCAGCTGCAAAAAACGCAACTAACGAAAAATGTAACATTAGTCATTAGTAGCAACTGTTCCTGGTTAGGTCTAATAAGAGGGGGTGGGGCTCGTCACGAAATCACGAAGATCACTTTTCGACTTAATGAGTCACGAAAACAAAAATTTCATTAATGATTTTCAAAACACAGAAGCGTAACAAAGTATGAAACCATTTAACGATTTTCTAGACAGCAGAACCTCGATGTTAACACAAAACACATTTCACTGGACTTTGCAAATATTTAACCTATGGAAATCATTGCGAGACTTACGAACATTACGAGCGTCTACGGTGGTTCATTTAAGTTTTGCATGAAGAGGTAATGAAGGTGAGGCCGATAACGACGTTACCATACCAAGAAGTCTCAAAGACAACCGCAGGAAGCAAATTTTATTCATTTTCCCCATAAATATTAAATTTTAAAATATTTCAAAACGTAAACATTCACAAGTTAGGGTAAAATATTGGTAAAAGTTAGCTCTTCATCACATCTACGCACGCATATTAATCACGATTCACGGACTGGTATTTCTTTAAATCGGCAAGCACGACACAATTGCTAACCGGAGTCACTAAAATACCCCCCCCCCCCCTTAATAAAAGTATAAAAATTCCACTCAAAATTTCCATCTACAAATCCCTGCTATACCACAGGAAGCCTAGGCTCTGCGTGTAGCCCGCATCCATCTTTGCCCGCGCCAGGCAAACATCGCCACCGGCCACCATACTTTGTAGTCAAAAAAGTGAAAAAGAAGTGGTAAAGTATACATACATGGCAACCGACTTTCCCATGCTACATAAGTTTTCTTGCATCTGTTTAACACAACACAACTCTGCAGATGTCCGACAAATAAATCCGGAGGCAGCGCGAACTGCACTTTCTGCCGTTCGGCCAATCGCTTGACAATTTGGATTCTTTTGTTTTATGACCTCCATAATACCATGTTGACAACACTGTGTTACCTCGTCCAGGAAGCCTTTGTTAAATTAAAAAAAAAACAATGGAAAGATTGGAATACGGAGTTTACTCATACTATTTCCTTTTTCGAACACAATCCGTATAATTACTATTTTTCAAAATTTGAATCGACCTCTGACGTGAATGGTATGTGTACGTGGAAAACGTTTTTTCAAAGTGTCGTCCTTTATACAACCAAGTGGTTGTTTTTGAGGGTTACTCTCGTGCAATTTTCATTAGTATAAGTGGCCTAAGTGTAGTTACTACACTTGTACTTAGTTATATATTAGTTGTTGCTGTTGCCCAGTGTTCGGTTGGTCTTGACATGGGATTCAGCTTGTTGTCATGTTGATCAAACAAGGTTATTTATTGTACGCAGCTAATTCAAAAAGGTTGTCCTTTGCAAACCTTAAACTCTAAACCTTAAACCTTAAACTCTAAGCGTGCAAAGCATAATGGCAGCATGATTTAATCAGTTTAGAAATCATATATGGGGCCAATTTCTTAGACACATGGTAAATATCTCCTTATACGAGAACAATTCATTCACAAATAGCTGCAATATTCAACTTGCGCTCTCATTAAGCTTTGGCTGCTTTGCTATATTTGTAAAATATGATATACTAACTAAATATCTAACACTTTTCGGGTTCGCTATCCTTGTAAGTGAAATATAAACTCTACGTTTCAGTTCGAAAGATGCAAAATTTGGGCAATGACAATGTTTATATCTGGGGGTCCCCTTTGTTTAATATGAGCAGAACTGATGCGGAGAACGGAGTGGAAATCATCTTTAAGGTTTGCAAAGGACAACCTTTTTTTAATTGGCTGTATATAGAATTAGTCGAATCGTACGAAAAATTAGCTTTGGTTCAGTTAATGTTGGAGGAGATTGTCACCCGTCTGGCATGGGATTATCATGCACTCCTAGGGCATTCAGTCTCCCCTAGTGGGTCTTATATATACGCCTGTCGCCCACAGGATGAAAATGTTCACTTCATCTTGATCCCATTCTCCCACAATAATTTGGCTGGGGTTCAATATATTTTCCGGATGCTTTTTTACTTGATACGGGCTTGGATCATTAATTAAAATAAGATTTATCCAAATCAAAATCTTTGCCTTAAAATATTTGCGAGAAAAAAACCCCAGTAAGATACACGCAGGACGGCAGGAGCCTCACATTTTTTAAACATTCCTGCACACTGCTTAGCCATAGGCATTAATATACATCCTCTTCTGAGTGGGTGGCCAGAATATAAAAATCCAATTGAGAAATTTACATTTTACTGTTGAGTGTTGGGTGCTTGAGTCTTTCAATACAACATACAAGAAGCATGCATGCATAAATATTAAAACAAATGTATTAATTATTTAATAATTTTTTTTATGATAGTACTTTAGTCTTTACTGATCACTACCACCTGTTGACGATTCTTGTTTACTTTGTGCCTTGTGGCTCGCCTTGTGGTGCGTTTAAAATTTCTATCATACATTGTTTTATTACATATAAATGACATAATAGCTACGACATGTTTAAAAAATCTACAAGTTCAAGGTCTACAATGAATCTACAACAACGTCAACTAGTGTTAAATTCGGAAAACCTCCTGTAAGTAAGTTTATCATATTTGGTTGGAGTCCAAAAAAATACGCACGATAACCTTTGACCTAAACTGTCTCATAGCCCGCAGTCATCATACCTAAGACGTTCCTAGTAGGTTTCCATCGCGGTAAATAATATTGTTTTGTTTTTTTAGAAATTACTTGCGCAAAGGTTTCGATATATACAAAAACGGTTCTTTCAATTACATCTGTAGATATGCATGCAGAATACATAATATCTAATTCAAATAATTTTTGGGGCGATACTTCCTCTTCGCCAGTATACAGCTGTACGGTATGAAAAATGACGAATTAAATAAAAAAAGGAACAACTTTACAAATCACAAGAATTTTTCAAGTTATAATTATTCCAAAACATTTTAATGTTCCACTGCCACTGAAACAGTAATTAAGAATAGTCCAGTTCATGCGCAAGTGGACATATTGGGCTTCACCTGCAAATATATTAGGCGTCATTAACCGCATGCAAATCTATAATTTTTTGAATCTATATACAATAGTTCTGTTGTATTGACTAGAGAACACTCATGGTTATAACTAGAGGATACCTATGATTTATATGTGGTTTACAGGTATAAATTATTATATAAACTGGCTGTTACGAAAGATTGTGACTATTTTTGCGACCATTATACGACCATACGGAAACCAAAAAGGCTTAAACATAGCAAGATGATGGCAAGGTAAGACACAAATTAATAGACTACAGGGGGGTAGTTTGTAAGAATTTAGTTCCAAAAGCAAAGACGTTTTCATTTTCTTTAACCGAAAAGCTATTGTATGCTCATAAAAATGCTTCTTGCAACTGCTCCGACTCGGAGCCTCCGAGGTATTCCGGGAAGCTGGGAGTTACATCGGCACTCTCTATTACAAATTTTTAAAGCGAGGAACAAACGCCATTAAATGATATGATTGAAATGATGCAGAAGATTTACAGTCTCAAGCGTGTAGGTTCAGTCTATCATATTAATCTGTTGTCGGTTTGGTCGGAACTGTATATCCTGAAACAAAATTCAGACGAAATTCGAAATGTCGTTTCCACACGCGCGAAGTTTCCTTTATCCTTTTCAAGGTATTTCCGATCTAAATCACGCATTCAGACAAATTATTTCTAATAGATTGTATCAGTAAGTCGGCAATATTTTCACGAAGAGTAAAGATGGCATAAAAAAAATTGTTAATTTAATTAAAAAATTACGTTATAGTACAAACATTTTTAGCCTAAACGTGTCAGTTGAAACTTAAAACAAGTTATTAAAATTGGATTAACTTTTCTTCGCCTTTGGTGTTTGTTTGGTTAGAAAACAAACTTGGTCAAAATAACAATACTGACCTCTTTACAGTAAATATTGTCTGAGGTTAACTCATGAAACGCTCAGACATTGCTGCGAAAATAGCTGTTAATTTAAATAAGATGCTAAAGAATGCACTTATTCGCAATAATGGAGTTTCAGTATTAATATAGATGACAGCACTACAGCCAAATGTTGACATATTCGGCACCAGGGTTATTCCGGTTTTTCATCATTACCATATTTGTTCATTCATCAATTCAATATAATGGTGCGCAAAACAATTAGCATAAAACGCGCATTTACAATAAATGTAAAAGCACATGTATATGTTTTATAACTAAAGTTTGATATCAAGCGTCAACTGCGAGGTGCTGCCGCATGTTACAATACAGAAACTGATGTATATACAATTACCTACCTTCGCTTTAAATATTGCTAAGCACACAATCTGTGCTATACTGATTCATCTACTACCTGACTACCCTTTTAAGGTATAGAGTAAGATAGGATTTGCGCATTCTTAAACAGAAAGACAAATACTTCATACATTGTTGGAATATTGAAACTGTATAAAACAGCCATTACCTTTTGAGTTTGTGGCGTCTCCGATATGAAATAGAGCGAATGCACAGACAAGAAAGATACAAATATTAGCTGCCATATTTGATTCTGCTCTTTGTCAATCCACAATAAGATTAAAAACGAACAGTTACTTTTAAACTTGGTGGTTTAGAATAGCTTTTATACAAACTGACAAACACCTTCTCAGTAGAATCAGAATGAAGTACTTATGTCTCGGGCGTCTTGGTATGTATGCATCCGTTGGATAGTGTATCAAACTGAAAATTACGTTACATGCGAGTGTTGACGTTTCATTTCCGTTTATCGCGACGTGTCAAATGTTTATAAAAAATGTGAATGCTGCTGAGCTGCACGAACATCAAAACAAAATGTGCTGGAAAATAGTAAACAAGAGACTGACTATAAACACATGATTATTTAATCATTTCCTAAACTTTTGAGTTGGCATGCAGTTAGGGGCGGACCATTAGAAATCCCAGGAGGGGGGGGGGAATAAAATTTTTGCTGCACGAATTTTTTTTTCAGTCTCATGTCTCTGCAGGATTTTTTTAATGCATTTAACCTCTGCACGAATTTTTTTTCAAGACTATTTGTACTTTACTGTTTGCTTGCACTAATTTTTTTTCTCTGACGTAATGGCTGCACGAAATTTTTTTCCAGGCATTTTTCTTTACACGAATTTTTTTGGGAGAATTTTCACACCCCCCCCCCCTCCCGGGATTTCCAATGGTCCGCCCCTTACAGGAACCAGATAGCTTCACAGAACAGTAGATCAACATTTAATCAACATAAACACCAGTTTTGGCATATACCTATAGAAACATACATAAAACTACATGAAGACATTTGAAATAGACTAGCAATGCACATAATATTAATAATAATATAAATAATAATAATAGTAAATGTGCCAAACGTTTGAAAACATGGAAACCGAAGAAACGTTATTCGAACATTATTAGTTTACATTTCTGTAATGAATAAATCAGCACATTACAGCATGCGGCATGTTTAGACAATCAATTTTCAACAAGTGTGTTGCAAAGGTTTTTAATAAGTGCACAATCAAACATGGGCGTCAATCCTGGGGGGGGGGGG